CAATGCTGGCGATGCTGAATCGTCGTGAAGGCCAGTGCCGACTGTGCAATGGATAACAAACTCCAACTGGTCAATCCGCGGTGATGTCGTCACTGAGACAGCGCTACACTTTAGCGCCCTTTGATGCTTTTGTAAATGATGACTTGACTGCTTTTATATCTACACATATATTTTTCTGAATTTCAAGGTCCTTGAATGTATCACCCATTTAGCCTAACCTTTAGTATGTGCTCCTAAATCTAAGATGGTTCTCTGAATATCTCGTCAAGCAGATTGACTCAGCACTTATGACGCATCGATATACAACAGACACGGAATGACAAACCGACATAAATGAGAAAAACGGACTTGTGTGATACAGATATCTTTAAGCAACATAAAACTTGCGAATTAAAGTTTGAATATTATCCCGTGTCTAATACTTTAATTGTTTAGGTAGCCTTAGATTTTTAAAATTGATTCCGTGGCGGCGGAACTACTTATAACAAAATGTACAAGGCAAATGGTTGTAAATTGTTGCATATTAGGTATCAGTGAAAGACCTTCTATTATTAAGAAGCTGTTGATCTCAGTGATACTATGCACCTGTTAAGTGAACCATACACGGTCAAATTTATTTGCAAATATGTTTGCAAATAAATGATATTTGAGCGTGTGTGACGTTATTTTCAAACAAGTTTGAAATTTTGCAAACACATTTGATCAAATTAAAAGTTTTTGATTTTGTATGGGCGGGGCCTTTTCAAGAGCTGAGAATTTGCGTGCGTGTGGCGTTGTTTGAAAACATTTCGACAAAGTCTAGTAGGCTGTGTCCTCACGTCGCGTCTTGAGGAGTTGTCTTTGATCGAGTTCAGACGTGTACTAACTTAAGATATGGCGATTCCAAACAACGAAAAGTGGCACAGTTTTTTTGAAGTATACCGAAGTATGCCCGAAATATGGCAAATTGAAAGCGATGTGTACTCAAAATAAATCGAAGAAAAACAATGCATGGGAAACCCTGTTATTGGAATATAAAGAAATCGATTCTGAAGGTACTGTGGAAAAATTAAAAGCCAAAATGAGCATCCGAACTACCTATGGACGAGAATCGATTCTGTGAAATCCAGAGCAGGTGAAGAGGATGTGTATGTACCATCCATTTGGTATATTTCTTGCTTGAATTTTTTGAAGGACCAGGAGGTACAGTCTCCAGGAGTTGATTCAATTGATTGCGAAAACAGGGAAACAACAAATATACCACCACAGCCTATAAAAAGTAAGGCTAATACTTCGGAAAGTAAAGAGAGATTTCTACAAAAAGCGACTTTTTCTGAGTACAGAGGCCTGTTTATTACGAAAACTATCAGATACACAACAATTGTATGACAGAAAAGCTATAGACGACATTTTTTTTGTTGGGGCAATTGAATCAGCTTATACTAAATACTGTGTCGATACCAACATCAAATAACTCTTCACTTTCAATTTCTAGCACCTCAACACCTAATTCATTTCCTCATCCTTCTTCAATACCTTCAAATGGTATAGTACTTCGGCAATTATCTAGTCATCCACCGACATTCACAGGATTTCAACATCAAAAAATTTAACAAACAGAACCCGTTGAAAGATATGAAAGCGTAGCAGAACAGACCTGTTCAGCGACCCACGTTATGTGTGAAACCTATCAATAATATTTGAGTATAGTTTAGTTAAAATTGAAGAATTATGTGTATTATCTATTATTATTTATGTTGTTTAAGTTGTAAATGTATGTGGGTTTATCTAGAAATAACAGAGTTCATTGACTATATTTTATTGGGCAATATTATTATGATCGATTACATTACAAAAGTCATCCCTTGTTCTTTTTCCTAAGTTACTTGAATTTCTGGCATGTGATGGCTCAGGAGGTACCATGTTAAGTCCATCTTGCGATGGACCGGTTACATTTACTGAATGTGGTGTATCCTGTTGTCGCAAAAAATTATGTACAAAATAACAATAGCTCCGCACAATAGTCGTTGATTTAGTGGGACATAAGTTTTTACTTTTACGACTTGAAAACCATTGGCCAGCATTTCAAATACATTTTCCACTTTAACACGAGCTGAACTGAGTTTCGCGTTAAAAAGCTCCTGCTGCCTACTTATATGATATCCTGTATACGGCTTTAAAATGTTTTCCTTTAACGGAAATGCATCATCTGCTACAAACACAAATGGTAAGATTTGTTCTCCAGATCCCACTACTCTAGTTAGTGGAATTTGAAGATCCCCTTCCTATAATAACTTGGCAAACTGTGTATTAGAAAACACACCTCCATCTGACACGCGACCGTTTTGCCCGACATCAACCATTAAAAATTGCAGATTAGCATTCACGACTGCCATCAAAACAATACTGAATGTCCTTTTATAGTTAAAGTAAAAAGATCCTAAGTGTGCTGGCTTTTTTATTTCCACATGTTTTCCATCTATAGCGCCGATGCAATTTGGAAAACCAGAAACGTCTTCAAATAGCTCCGCTTCTTTTCGCCATTCATCAGGCGTTACAGGTAACTAAAATGAAATGAACAACATAAGTTTGTAGTATATTTGTTCTGAAATTGGAATACCTACCTTAATACAATTTTTCAATACATGGATAATTGCCTGACATGTTTCAATGACAATTTTTCCTATAGCTTGTGGAGACACTGCGTAAAAAAACTTCAAGTCTCCAAAACATTTCCCTTTGCTAGAAATCGGAGTGTAATATTTAATCTTGTGTCTGCGGAAATGGCTTCCCGCATCAAAGTATTATGTTTCTTTATAAAACGTCCAACTTTGTAGAGAAGTTCATCAAACGTTGCACAGGTAATTCTGAAGTAATTTTTATAATCTACCGGTTCAGTTCCCTTAAGGTGCGTCAACAATCTCCCATTTGAAAATGTTTCCTTCTCCAAAAGCCATTTTTTCACCCATGTTTTTGGCTTACGCGTTTTACTTTCTATATCATCTTCATCACACACCTCAGAAATTATCATTAAAGCCATGTGGTCGGCCTAGAAAACTAACTGCTAGACCAGTTAGATTAATAAAAGTAATTTCGTCCAAACATCCCGTTTAAAACCCCAAGACAAATAAAAGCCAAAATCGAGACAAAAGGTTTCCAGTGTTTCTACGAAAACTATAAGTAGAGGATTAAATGATTTGAAGTTATTTGCACGTCGCCCGAGTAAGAAACCGCTAATCTCGAACAAAAACCGTAAGGACCGATTACAATTTGCATGGTTGCATCTTGATTGGAGCATCTGTGACTTCAAGAGGGTATGTCTTATGAATTTATTTATGTATAAGTGAGTATTATGCTATAACGAATTATGTATACAGGTTGGTGTATTAATAAAACAAGTTAAAAAAGAAATACAGCACAATATTAATTTGTCTATATACTTTTGTCCATTACTGTACATTCTCAATTTGGGTGCTGGAGGTGAGATCTGCATCCAACCAGCTACCAAGCAGTTTCACTCTATTCACTAACTGTAATCCACATTTAATGTTGTCTTAGTACTTCCACTTCTTCAAAAACAACTACGGCGTTTTCATGCAGTTTGTCGGCAGAACTTCCAGAAACAGTTATCGTGTTAGCAGCAAACATTGTAACTTTTCCCTGTGAAATGAAATCTGATAAATCATTTACAAAAAGCATAAACATTAGAGGACCTAATACGGACCCCTGGTGAACGCCCAGATCTACGGGGAGTTTATCTGATAACACATTATCAATCTTCACAATTATATTCCTATCTATTATAATATGTCTACAAGTAATTGCCATGTTACATAACCTCAAATACAGGCAAAAGTATCTATTTTTGCACGGAAACTAGAACCATCTGAGAGATTTGGATCACGGATACGGATTCAGCATATCAAAAGCCTTAGGGAAAGTATACTCTGGTTTCTGAGTCAGCTCAGTTTTGTCGGTCTGTGTTATTCAACATTGGAGCTTCAGGTTACGCCACTGTGAGACCGGTTGCTAGTGAACTCGAAGGCACAGTGTAATATAAAATTGGCGTCTTTAAAGTGTACTTTAAACAGCAATGTTAATATTAAAGACAATACAAGCAGTAGCAGCGGCTCTATACACAGGCATCGAGTCAGAGCGGAGCATTTCTCAGGCCATTCTGAAACAATTCAATTATTCACCAGACAGATTGGCATTGGCATGGAGAGAAGAGCGAACTCTCTCTCTATTCAAATTGCACCTTGAATATTACATAAATGAAGTGAAATAATTCATAAGTTTGTAGTCTGCCCGTTTAAGGTTATTTACAATGCACAGGGAAATATTTATGATTCTGCCAGAAGGCTTCCAGCACGGCAAGGCAAGACTCAGCTCGCTCTACAGCCAAGATTGCCCTTGTTGTCTTTACATACAAATTTCATTTCGATTCGTACATATTTTATTTTTAACTAGTGCATTTTAACGGGCTTTCGAACGAGAAGGGTGCAATTTTCAGTAGTCCACGATAAAAGGACTATTAGGTTTTATTTATAAGCTATTATTGAATAAGTAAGTACCGACGACGATGTGAAAGAAGATGTTCAGCGTTTCCTCAACGACCCGGCATGGAGGTCTGTAGTATATCGATATACAAACTACCATAGCTCAGAACGCCCACAGGAATTTTTATCATTGGGGATGATGATCGGCAAGAGATAACTTATAGTAGTATACAGATACATGCCACTAACACTTTTTAGTGAGCGAGGGTATCAAATTTTCTCCAGGAGGTGAGGTAAACCATAAAATCCCCAAAATTTGTACATAAAATAGAAATATACAAATTTTAAGATTTATCCGGATTCTCAGTACAGGCCACGGTGCACCCTGGCAGCCCCCTGCTGGAGCCCATGCATCAAAAAATAGGAGACCTTATTTTTGGGGTTACCGTCGCAAATACGAGGGATGTCTTTTAAGTTTTGCATATGGAAATAAAACAACACGGCAGGTAGTTTTAAATGACTTTATTGTCTTTCGAAGTATTCTCCACGAAGAATAATATACATCTGCATGCGCTCGAACCAATTTTCGAAGCACTTATTCCACTCGTTTGCTGGCAGATCCAAAACGGCATTTTTGAATGCGTCAACTGCTTCTTCTGGTGACTGGAACCTTTGACCACGCAGTCTGTTTTTAATTTTCGGGAAATTAAAGAAATCTTTAGGACTTAGATCGGGACTATATGGACGATGGTCCAATAATTCCACGTTTTCTTCCGTTAAATACTGCCTTGTTTTTTGGGCTGTGTGCGAGCTTGCATTGTCTTGGTGGAGGATGATTCTTCTTTCGGGGTTGATTTTTCGAAGCTCGGTGATGACTTTTGGCAAACAAATGGTGGTATACCAATCCGCAGTAACAGTTCTTTGCTCATTAAGAGGAATTGTTGCAATATGACCCACTCTTGACACAAATGTCGCGACCACCTTTTTCGAAACACTTCGAGAACGGATGACTTTTGTTGGCTTTTCTTCACCTTGGAACACCCAAACAGCCAGTCGTTTATTTTCAGGTTCATAACAGTAAATCTACGATTCATCATCACTGACAATGCTGTACACATTTTGTGAGTTTCCGGAATTGAAACGGTCAAGCGTTTTTTGACACCAATTAACCCTGGCTGCTTTCTGCTCTTCAGTCAACAGGTGGGGTATCCAACGAGAAACTAATTTTCTTACTATTAATTCTTCATGTAAAATTTTTGAATTGAGGTCTTTGAGGTCTTTAAGGACGCCTCAACCTCGCGATATGTCACATGTCTATCTTCAATGATGAGTGCGCAGAGCATCGACGTTTTCCTGGGTGACTGCCGTTTTTGGTGCACGCACCTTGGGATCGTCGCTAAGACTCACCCGTCCACGTTTGAATTCTCCATACCAACGGGAAATTGTCGACTGATGTGGCGCTTTGTTGCCGAATACAGACAGTAACTCAGCAAGGCATTCTTGCTGCGATAATTGTCTCTGAAAGTTGTAATAAATTATGAATTTAAGTTTACTAAAGAGTGAGGTTAAGATTCAGTACTGATGTTCGTCCGCGCGGCCTACTAGGTTTCTATATGCAAAACTTAAAAGACATCCCTCGTATAGGGTTACTGGTTATTCAACGTATTCCGTTTAGGACCTGATCGGAGGCCAGAATAAATCAAATTTCATCCCACATATAAGCGAAAATCATATGTTTTTGAAAATTTTCAATTTTTGTAATCTTTCAACAACCAGTTGGTTGACTTTTTTTTGGCAGATCTATGATTTTAATGAGAGAAAACGTACCTATTACTTATTAAAATATAATTTTAATATTTTTAATCCTTTAACGTCAAAGTCAGTACCTTCCTAGATGAAAAAAAATGCGTTAGTAATTAATTTTATTTTCTGACAAATAATTCATGGTTTCCTTAGGAAAAAATTAATACATAACATTAATACGTGTGATGATATAACGATGATACTCCAATCTTTTATGAACTTATGAGACATCACTAGTCTGGAAATTTTACGCCCCTTTCAAAAGTCGAAAAATTCCAGATGGCGGCCAAAAGAAAAATGAAAGTTGAGGCAGGTTGCCAGAAAGCAAAAGACTATTGAGACATGTCATACACGCTAGTTTCCTATTTAACATTTAGTGTAGGTAGAACAGGAGCCGAGGTCGCTGTATAGAGAAGGGAATCTGGGACACACTGTATCCACAACATTCAACGAGACATGCTTCGACTTATACAGCATATCGGAAGGGGATAAATTATGAATCCATCCGAACTGCAGCAAGATGGCCTAAGAACTCCAACATGTTTGTAATAGACAGCTGAAGGAGGCAAACATTCTTTTGGAAACGATGTTTGATTGTTATTAATTTCATGTTTATATATATACAGGGTTACAGGAAAAGTCGTGCTAGATCCGTTAAGGGCGTGTAGTACCCATCATTTCTGACTTATTTCATTATGAAACACCCTACCCTAAACTTAACCCTTTTCGAGATATTCAACTTTTAATGTTTTTATTGAAAATTGCCGATTTTTAGGCTACTAAATGTATTTATTTTTATTTTGTGTGTGTTATTATTACTATTATTGCATTTTAACATGTGTAATAAGATGCTTTAGGACGTCAATCATTAAAATAGTCCATAAGTTAATTGAATAGGCTGTAGTAGATAAGTGAATGTTAAGAAATTGAAAAAAATATCAGAAAGTTTATTTTTCTCTAAGGGATATCTAAAAAAAATATTATGGCAATTGTTCGGCAGATGTGTTTTAAAATATCTATGTTTTATCAGCTATCTAACGAGGTATAACAATCTAGGATTTTATTTAAATGCATTGAAAAAACTTAGTTTCTTAGGCGACAGTGGAGAAGAAAATTGATACTTAGCCCTAAAAAGTAAAATAAAACAATAGGTAAGCATGAAATATCATTTATTAAATCAGGTTTTCACACAACTTTTTCTTACTCTACAGTTCATGTTCAACATGGCTGCCTCTGTTTCTAATACATTGTCGCATCCTTCGACGGAGTCCAGTCTTTACAACTGCAGTGGTCAACGTTGTCCTTAGTTGATTTGCTGCATCGACAATCCTTTCTCTTAATTCTTCCACAGACGAAACTGGATTTGGCTCGCTGTAGACAAGACTTTTCATGCACCCCCACACATGAAAATCCATGGGGGTTAGGTCCGGACTTCTTGCTGGCCATGGCAACGGCCCACCTCGTCCTATCCATTTGTTTGGATAATTTGTGTCCAGCCAGTCTCTGACACTTCTCCTGAAATGGGCAGGGCAGCCATCATGTTGGAACCACATGTCCCTTCTCAAGTTGAGTGGCAGATCATCCAGCAAATCTCTGAAGTGTCCTCTCAAGAAGTTTTCGTAATTTTCCCCATTTAGATTGTCCGGGAGAAAGTAAGGTCCAATCAAATGGTTGGAGATAATGCCCATCCACACATTCACGCTGAATCTTCGTTGGGACCTCGCCACTCTTTTCTTATTGGGATTCCTTAGTACTTTTGGGGCCCAGTAATGGGCGTTGTGATAGTTAGTTATGCCATCGTTATCAAATTTGGATTCATCTGTCCATAAGATATTTCTTAGAAAATCTGGGTCTTCTACGTCAGCATTTAGCATAAATCTGCTGAAGTCCAACCTTCTCGCGGGGTCTCCTTCTTCAATAGTGTGTACCGGCGTGTAATGGTACGGGTATAGGCCAGCAGTATGCACTGTAAACCACACTCTCCATTGCGAAAGTCCCAGATCACGGGCAACACGATTAGTGGAAATGGTCGGATCCGCTCGAAAGCGTTGCACTATCTCATTGTCCTGCAGTTCTTCGTTGTCATAAATTCGTGGTCTTCCCAGGTCTGTATTTCGTCTCAAAACAGAGCCAGTTTCTCGAAGTCTTAGATAAACTCTGTTAAAAACGGCCACATCCGGCACTCGACGACCGGGGAAGCGAGTTCTGTATTCGTTGCGAGCTTGCGCAGATACACAATCGCAGTATCCGTAACAAATAAGCATATCAGCATATTCCTCAGGTGTGTAGGACGTCATCTTCAACACTTCCGTATCACAAGTACAAATCAGAGTCCAGTGAACAAGCACAGTATTCACAAATCAGAAGAAATAGTCCAGAATCGTAGCCAAGTCGAGGAAAAGAGCAAAACGATATCACATCTACTATGTACGAAGCACAAAAGCAGACTGACAACCAAAACAACATCCCGTGTTGGATTTCCAGCCCTAACCGGTTATTATAATATGTTTTCTTTCATTCGCACCCACATTAAATCGTCATGTCTCGCTCGCACGGTGCGTCTAAACTTGAAGGAGAATTGGCGTGGGAACTGCTACTGGAGCGTCCCAACTACTTTTTTTCTACGAAATGTAATACAAATCCTAGATTGTTATACCTCGTTAGATAGCTGATAAAACATAGATATTTTAAAACACATCTGCCGAACAATTGCCATAATATTTTTTTTAGATATCCCTTCCGAGAAAAATAAACTTTCTGATATTTTTTTCAATTTCTTAACATTCACTTATCTACTACGGCCTATTCAATTAACTTATGGACTATTTTAATGATTGACGACCTAAAGCATCTTATTACACATGTTAAAATGCAATAATAGTAATAATAACACACACAAAATAAAAATAAATACATTTAGTAGCCTAAAAATCGGCAATTTTCAATAAAAACATTAAAAGTTGAATATCTCGAAAAGGGTTAAGTTTAGGGTAGGGTGTTTCATAATGAAATAAGTCAGAAATGATGGGTACTACACGCCCTTAACGGATCTAGCACGACTTTTCCTGTAACCCTGTATATGTAAAATTTTTGCTTGTCAAAGGAGCTCTAGTTTTCACATGTGGCGTTAACTCTTTTATTCAGTAACCTGTTTTCCTTGTTGTGTCTGGATGGATAAAAAACTGTCTACAAAACGAATGTTTTACCTACATCTTGTCTCCGAACATCTACAGGGTAAATAATTGAATGAATTGTGATATCGAGGAATAGACGCCGAAATATAATTACAAAATCAAAGGGACTTACCTGTGAGCTTCGATGCTAATTATATGAAATGTCCATTCCGAAGATACAAAATCCCCTTTTCCCTACAAATTTTCCAAAATATGTAAAACACTCACACTTTTAAACCAAATAACAGGAATTAGTGACAGGAAGAATCAGCAGAGCCGACTTTTCTATAAACCTGGTGAGCAAAAGCAGGAACAGCACGTACAAGAGGATAAAAAATATTTTTAATTATATGATATCTTCGGAATGGATGACTCATATAATTCTAATCGAAGTTCACAGATGTTCCTTTGATTGTATAACCTGCCTAATTTGTCTTTGTTACCGTATGATGGATATTTCGTGATGTATAGGATCTTGAACTATGAAGTATACTATGCCGTTTCTTCAAAGAGGCGGAGGGAGAGGGAGAGACAGAGAGTGTGTGTGTGGAATCGTACTTCTCGTAATACTGTTGTAAATATTACAATGCAACATACCGAATAAACACCTACAAAATGCAGATGTACAAACAGATTCGCCACCCTTAAGCATTCTTACCCTCGTCTGATTGACAAATCAACCGTTTGTATTTTTACGCCTTGCATTTTACACCCCCTGCGAAGGATGGTGGTAGACAGGGATGATAGCAAAACAGCCAGGCATAAAACCACGACACCCCCTTGCCCCATAAAGCCCCCAACCCTGACAAATCGAACCAGGAAATGGGAGTGAAAATCTTATTATCAACAATTTGCAAACGTGTTGCGGTGGCGACGAAGATAGAAAGGGATCAAAAGGGGTGGGGGTTGTAAATATAATTTTACATCGGAAACGAGCTGTGGATCAAATGGTGGCGGCTTGTTCAGGATCAATCTAATGATAGATAGATTCACGTGATCCAGATAGATGGACAGACGATAATAAAATATCGGTTACATAACTCAAAGAAAATTCAAATAATTTGACTCTATACTTCCTACGTATTCGTTGGAGGTTTTAAAGCAAAGGGATGAGTCAAGTCGTTCCACAAGGGGAAATCGATCGTGATTAGGCCTTCGAGTTCTGGATATAATAATAATAATAATAATAATAATAATAATAATAATAATAATAATAATTTTAATATATAAAGCAAATCTATCATATATGTCTGTTTCCTTGGCAGATGTAGGTAAGATATGTGTGACTTATTATAGCTAATAGTTGCAAAGTATCAGCTGCTTCTTAATAATAGAAAGTCTTTCACTAACGCCAAATATGCAAAAATTTACAGCCATTGACCGCATACAGCTTCCAACCTACTATTCCCATCATTTCATCCTTTCCAAACAGTGAAATTGAACAGGAATCTCTGAACCGTTGAAACACTATGTTCCACCAAATTCATTCTTTTGTCGATAATCCGCCGCCTTTGAGTCAATTTTCAAAATATACGACTATCTTAACGATGGATGTATTAAACTTGATAATATTTGAAATTCAGTTTACAAGTTTTCTGGTCTTTAAAGATATCTGTATCATACAAGTCCGTAGATATTTATTATATTATGAGCAGCACATTATACGTCGGTTACTTTTATCAGAAGCTTCTCAGTGATAGAAAGTCTTTACTAATACTAAAGACGTAACATTTACAACCCTCTACCCCCTTCAATCCCCAACTACCAAGTTTCAACCCTTACAACAAATTTTTCAAAAATGTTCAGGAGCCTTTGAAACTACAAAAAACGAAGTCTGAGCGATTTTTATTATTTTCGTGTTTTTGCATTATAGCTCCGCCAGCACTAGATCGATTTTCAAAAACTATAAAGCATTTTCACTCTTGGCATAATAGTAACCTTGTGATTCGAGCGGTTCTTTTCAAGATATAAGCGGTTTTGAGATTAGCGGGCAGACCGACTGACAGACAGACCGACGGAAATGAGTGACATGGTTTTTCGAAAATTTTCGCAATTAAAATACTTCCTAGCCAATTGGCATAGGAAGTAAAAAGTAATAAATAAACAATGCCAGCTAATTTGAGCATCTATGTAGAATACTTCTAATGAAGATGTGTGAACGTTTATCGGTTCAATTTTGCTTTAATATTAGTTCCTCTTTATTAGTGCTGTGTGTTGGATGTCTAGCAAAACCTTCATATGATAAAGAAATCACTCGGCAATCTGCAAGTACAAATGCCATTATATCCTTTGAGCTTTCACAATGCGGAAAAGGCTACATGATTGGTTCGAATCGCCGTTCCATATTCCCCCCTTGGCCCCAACCCATTTATTGTCAATTAAGGGGGTTCTGGAGCCGGACATCGCATTCGGGAATTTGATGTGAGTCAAATGGCACTCGTGTTTTCTCTTTTGCATACCGTGTTGTCCGTAATATAGGCCGGGCTAACTGTATTGAGAATTTTTACGTGTTTTGAGAATTGATGTAGAATTTCTAGGGGGTGTGGCATAATGTCTTTGGTCACGGAGTCTGGCCAAGATTTTTATTGTACAAATCTCTTAAAGAAACATGCCTTATATATTTTGCACAGCTTAGCCAGGTTTTTCTGGAAATATTTCTTTTATTCACTGCTAACCGCAATTGTTTAAGGAGAAGTTACATTTTTCCCCATAGGTAAATAATGATAATGCATGAATCCCTAGTTGAATAATAAAATTGCATATGCGCATTCGAGCTTCTTTGGCTTGCTAGGCACATAATAGGCTAGGTTGCGACAAGTACCGTAATTTCACACAACAATAATCCTGCCCCACAACTAATTTCTCAAAGCAGTATATTTTTAAAACATTTGTAAATCATATTATGGCGACATCTATTATTAAGTAAAGAGACTAGACGGAAGCTAGTAGTCTCCAGTAAAACATTTCCGGCCCGCATCGCGTTTCGTAGGAATCTTCATTTCGCTTTGACGCTTAGTATCATATTTATCAAGTACAAGGTGTTTGTTTACCTGCAAACACTCGATACTGCAGGTGGTAAGTACTTCGATTTTTTTAATTATTTTAGTTTAATAATATCGATATGCAACTAGTTATTTGTTAAGCTTCTCGTGTTTTTTCTTACCATAGCTGCAACCAAAATTCTTGTTTATAGACTTTATTACCGTGTTTATACCTTTTATTATCACGAACTATTGTGTTTCAGTAGGTGGCAAACCTTATACCCCGTACAGCACGGATGCAATGGAAAGATGTCTACATGACGTCACAAATCACATACTAACTTTACGGGACGCTTCAGAAAAGTACAAGATACCTCGTAGTATGATAATACTGAAGCTAAAAGGTCATCGTAATAGCAACGTACATGTTCCAGGTCGTAAATGTTTCTTTTGTCCAGAAGAAGAAAAATCATTCGTCGATAACGTTGTTCTATTGTGCGATTATGGATTTCCCCTAACTTTTTTTGATCTGAGGTATTCTGTGGTATTGTGTTGTTAAGATGTATTTGGACAACCATGGTACCACAATAAATGCATTCAAGAACAATTTTGCTGGAAGGCGTTGGACCGAGTGCTTTGTAGAGCACCATAAAAAAGAACTTTCTCAAAGATTCTGCAGCAATATTAAAAGAGTTCGTGCAGCTGTCAATGCAGAAATAATAAATAACTTCTTTGAGCATTTGACAACTGAAATTAAAGATGTCCCCCCAGACTGTATCTATAATTATGATGAAACAAATTTGTTCCATGACGCTGGAAAAAAAAGAGTTCTTTCAAAACGTGGGTGCAAATATCCACAAGCTATTAAAAACTCGACCAAAACAGCCAGTCTTATGGTATGTGGAAATGCTGCTGGAGAAGTCTTGCCGCCCTACGTTAATTACAAAGCGGAAATAATGTAGGACACCTGGACAACAGGTGGTCCCCCAAATTCCTGATATAACCATTTAAAATCTGGGTGGTTTGAAGGCAGTAGCTTTGAAGACTGGTTTTTTCCTTGGTTCCACCGACTTTAAAAAAGCAGAACGGAAAGAAAATTCTTATAGGACACAACCTAAGTTCTCATATAAGTGTAAAGGTCCTAAAGGCCTGCGAAGAGAACAATATCGCATTCATTGCTCTTCCTTCTAACTCAACACATCTTACACAGCCGTTGGATGTTGCGTTCTTCAGACCTTTCAAGTGTCATTGGAAGAAAATTTTGGATTCCTGGAAAGCTACACCAGTCGGTCAGAGAATGCCAACCATACCAAAGGATGTGTTTCTCTATCTTTTGAATAAGCTATGAAAAAAAAATCATGAAACCGCTGAAAAAATTTAAAGGTATATTTCCACTTTGTGAACGATTACCAGGTTATAATTGCCCTGTCGTCGAAGAAAATACTCCCGTACTTGTTTCGGATGCCATTAAACAATATATTGAAAATAAAAGAAAAACAGCCGTTGACGAAACTGGAGAAAAAAAGAGACAACTTGATATAGTAGCAGGAAAAAGCATTTCTGCTGATGAAGTAAAGACTTTATTTTGGCTTTATAACAGCGAGAAACGCGATCGTAAGCAGAAAAAGAAAGTGGTAGTAGATAGCCCATGCAGAAACGAAGAGGAAATAGAGAATATGCTTTTACCTTCTGGCTCCCCGAAAGAGAAAGTCATCAAGAAAAAGAGAGCGATTTTTTTGGCTTCTCTTCTTCAGAAGAAGAAAAATCCGAAAATACTACAAGCGCAAACCTCAGAAGCTTCGAGGGTTCTCTACCCGAAAAAGATGATTTTGTTGCAGCTGAGTACGATGGTGATTACTGGCCCGGGCAGGTGGTTACAGCAGGAGCCTTTATAAAATGCATGGCAAAATGTGGAAAACTGTGGAGATGGCCAGAAAAGCATGACTGCATATTTTATGCCAAAAACGAAATTAAGTTTTCCATAAATGCTCCAAAGCAAGTTTCAACAAAACGTCATCTTTTCAGTGTCCCTGCCCTGAGATTGCTTAATTAGGTATAACAGTTAATAAAGTCTTGTTTTGTTTATTTAAATTTTTTAAATTACCTTTTATTTCGATAAGTTGTGCTACAAAAGGATTTTTAAGTATTAATCTTTCGTTTGTATTATTTTATTACCATAGAAATTGTACCTATTGAGTGACTATTTTTATTTAAATATGAAAAATAAATGAGTTTTGAAGTTTTTGTGAGTCAAATATTTCTTTTCAAGTATACTTTTAATTGCTTGACACTATAGTTGGGTTATATCCTTCCAACATTAGTTACCTATCGACTTACTGCAATAAATTCCTTATGGACCATACGAGTAGATGTGTACAAAGTCCACAACTATGGTCCAAAATTTAACAAAAAAACTAACTTCTCAAAAACTTTTAAGTCTTGCTACTCCATAAGAATGTTTTAAAGTAAGTCAGGTTGTAATTTATAACGCGTATTCCAAAAAATCACAAAAAATTGGACTTGTGTGAAGTTACGGTAGGTTTTAAATAGTTAATATTAGTTCAATAAGACCATAAAAACCAATACTATATGTTTTCATACCTAATAGACCACAAAACTTTAATTCAAAAATATATATATTTTTTTTAGACAGGCGAAAACGCAGTCCGCCGTGTTTGGCCATTATATTAGTGTGCTATGACGTTATAGCATCTGTAAACAGCAGCTGATAGCAGCATAACCTCTCAAACTTTCAAACATATAATCATGACTTCTGCTAGTTTACATGAAAAATATAATAATTATCGTCGAGGATGCAAAAACACATCCACGAAGATCCCGGGAAAGCTGTGGATTAGAGTGTCAAGGGAAACAAATATACGCAACAGTGTGTTTTGCTTGGAGCATACCTTATGTTCGGGACATACCTTACATTCTAATGTGCAGATTTTATCGTCTCGTTCAAATTGGACGTAACCTACGGCATCACATCATCGTATGATTCCTTTGCAGATGTGTAAGAAATACAATATTAGATACAATTATTCAGTGGTTATAACACATGAGCGTAACTTTGAATAAATTCTGAAAAGGTGGATTATGTAATATTGATTCTGTCGTTTTTATGTCTGTCATCATATCAGATGCACTGGACTTAGAATAGAAGAATTGATGTTCCTCGCGTCAGCAGAGCAGAAAACTGGGTTGAAGGCAAAAAAATTACCAACCATCAATGCGTCAATCTTAGGCAAATTTGTGCTTTCTGCTTTTAAGAATCCAACGTCCATAATTATTTTTTCAATAATTCGAAACAACACCTATACACCTATTTGGCATATTTCACACATCGTAGATTTACGTTTTCCTTTAGAAATGTTTTCGATTCACGTACTCCTGCCTATGTAAGCGCACCGCTTGGCCGAACCAGTCCGACTTTATAGTTATTCGTACTGAAGCTCAAAACACATATGAACTCTGCACGGAACGAAAGATTACCCTACTACTATATGATATGGAAATACTGTGTATGGACTAATTGTATGAATAAATAAAAGAACGTTTTTTTTTAAACTACTAGATACCCTGGCCTATGAGTCAAATGGTCGCCAGCATGTTTTCTCTTCTGCAAACATAGGTCGTCCGTGTACTAACTAAAAGTAAAACGAAAACGATAAAATGAAAATCTCTCTGGACTGGCGGTAATTCCCTTCAGGGGCGCCTGGCTGTGCTCTCAACAAATCTGAAATAGTCCATTTCTGGTGAAGGTAATCGCATCAGGGCTGATTCGAAGGCCTCTGCATCGCTCTCAAAGAACCCAAAACAATTTGGCCGGCAAAGCGACGCCAATTCATCCATCCGCTCTGTATGATGCATTTCTACATATTTTCGCATATTCGCAAATGCACATGTACGAGGTAGGCAAATATTAAAGGACTCCGGCTGGATCTCGGCAACCGCTCAAGCTAGACCTATCGGTTAAAAACTTTTGTTATAAAAGCGACCAAGAGAAAGTGCTTAAAATTATTTTTTTACACCGAAGCTGCCGCGCAGGCCAAGCCTAAATACCAGGGCATCGCGGCTGCTATGATGAGCTTAAAGAAACTTTTTTCACCCAATTTTTCAAATGCTTAAGGTTAGTAGAACTGGCAAACGTCTCCTTATGTAGATTGCTTCTCGATACCCTAGGACGAAGGAGCGGTCGAATCGGCCAGTTCTGTATGTACGAAGATCGACACGCTTAGGATGTGAGACCGAACTTAGGCGGATATGTCTGGCAGGTACATCGCGCGGCGGAATCATGGAGGAGAGATCTGAGAAGCAGAGTCCGTTGGTATAGCGGTAGGAGAGAGCTAGTTCGTCGATGGACCGCAGGTGGGAAAAGGTCCAGAGACTGTTCGTTAGAGAAGTGTCATCGGTCAGTTGAACATACCTCCTATGAACAGCATCATTGTTAATGTAGTGGGGGCGGCAGCACCCCAAACATGTGAGCAGTACTCGGGGCAAGGTCTTTTTTGGGACTTGTACAGGGTGAGGTCATATGGAGAAAAGTAGTTTTTAGCCCTAAACAAATAGCCTAGCTGTTTCCCCGCATCTGCCGCTTTTGACGAGATATGTTAGTGCTAGGTCAAGTCCTCGGTGATCTCGATTCCGACCAGCCGAAATTAACGGCTTTTGGGCAGACCTCGGCCATCCTTCGAAACCGGATGAGCGCTAGGACGCTTTTTATTCGCCATCTTACAGTGCTGTGTTTTGGAAGCATTAAACTGTACTACACTGTTGCGTCCCCAAGCAGTGATAACCCCCAGATCTCTCGTCAGAGCGGAAGTCGCTGCTAGCCTTTTCTCCAGCTCACCGGCAGAGATTGGCTTGTCATTCTGAATTCCAGAATGTAGAGTGCTGTCATCAGCAAAGCTGTAGACCGGATTGTGTCGGAGCCAAGACCGATCCTTGGGGAACATACGCGTTGACCTCGTGAGATGAAGAGGAGAACCCGTCAAATACGACGGATATCTTGCGGCCAGACAGAAAGGCAGCGACCCATCTGCAACGCCATACGATAGAGATTTGCATATGAGCGCTGCATGCCACAGATGATCGAACACTTCGGTGCAACGACATGAGCCTCTCCATAAGACCGGATAATTTTACTCTACAGTTGCGTGACTAAGCTAGGAGGTCCCCTGGGGATCGCTGGTGTCGGAAACCACACTGCATGTCGCTAATCAAGCCGTGACATGATTAAGGTACTTCAGAAGCTACCAACTTAGCCACTTATACTACCTTACTTATAACAAAACGTAGAGCTATAGACCTGCAGTTGTAAGGTTCTGTTTTAGATTCCTTTTGGGTTGGATACGAGCTAATTTCCAGTTCTCTAAGAAATTGTCGGATTCGTAAGATATCTTGAGGAGACGCGAAAGAACTGGAGCATGCGCCGCTGTACACCAATACAACGGCGGGAATCAAGTCTGGCCCAGAAACTTTGTTGATGTCATTCGAGTACCCGTCTTACGGTCTTATGCCTGATTGTTACTTCCGGCATAGTGTAGGGAACCCTTCGAATTGACGGTATTCGGGCGTCGAGGAGCTAGCAGCAAAGATCAACCACTCTCGCCTAAGCCTTTGAGTCAGTTACAATCATTCCATCCTGGCACGTACGTTGTAGAAGTCCACCCTCCACCCGGACATTCGGAAAATGACGTGAGTTTACGTACGGAATACACTCGAGGGATCCATAATTTCTTTATTGTGAAGGGAAACCGACTGCGTAGCTTAGGTGTAGAAAATTGTGGGCATTCTTAATACACCCTGGAAAAAGCTGGCGGTGGTACCACCCAGATCGACTGGCCCTTGTCTACCACCTTTTTGCTTGTTAATGATGTTGGGTAGATCTAAAGCGGCCCATTCGCGGACTGGTACCGCTACTCGGCAATCGGTACAGAGGTATTCCTTAACGCGTATA